TGAAGATCCCCGGTTACTAAGCACAGCTTAAACTAGAGGAGCGGAATCTTATTACAATATTTTTTTTCTTTTTTTTTTCAAATTGACCCAAACCATAACTCCAAATGTGTTCCTCCATCCCAAACACATATAATATAACACTCTTCAACTCCTAAGACATTCAAAAGGGTAGGATTTTTTTTTTTGGCTATGGGTTAAGAGAAAAAAAATGATGAAGGCTCAAAAGGGGTTAAGCAAAGGATAAATGCAGAAAAGGGTAGGCTTTTGGCTTATCTGGCTAGAAAAATTAAAATGAATGCCTTTATCATCTTTATGAATGCAAATGCACAAATTGGTCTCAAACAAGATTCAAGTCAAGTTCTAGATCAAGGAAAGAGATAGGGATGTACACACATGAAAAGAAGAAATGCATCAGGCTCAAAACCTCACTAGGCATATGATTACTAGCTTAAATTCACCTAAGTCAAATCCATTGCCACTTAGTTTATCCACTCAAGACATGATCAGTCACTTTTCAAATCAAGAATGCATCATACTTGAATCACTTCAAACTTGCAATCTTCACAAACAAAACGAAACAAAAAAGAGGAACTAAAACAAAAGTAAAAACACACCAAAAAAAAGGAAAAAAAACTAAAAGAATGAAATCCCTCCCCCACACTTAAACAATGCATTGTCCTCAATGCAGAACACATAGGCAAGTCACAAAGCAAGTAGTATCCAGCACAGCCCAACTCAATAATATGACAATGCAAAGCAAAAAGAGTGAAGGGAAGGAATACAACCAAGGCTACGTGGCGTCTCGTAGTGTGATAACCTCTACATCTTGGGTAGAGAACCCCTCGTAGTAAGGCTTCAAGCGATGACCATTGACTGTAAAGCATCTTCCAGTTGGCTCTCTCTTAATCTCTACAGCACCATAGGAAAAACATTAGTGACAATAAAAGGTCCCTCCCATCTAGAACGGAGCTTACCAGGCATGAATTTAAGTCTAGAGACATAAAGTAGAACTTTTTGGCCCACGTGAAACTCCCTTCTTAAGATGAGCTTATCATGGATAGCCTTGGTCCTTTCCTTGTAGATCCGAGCATTCTCATAGGCTTCTCTCCTAAGCTCTTCAAGTTCTTGCAATTGTAACTTTCTTTCAACACCAGCACTAGCAAGATCAAGGCTGCAGCTTTTGATGGCCCAATATGCCTTGTGCTCCACCTCTACTGGCAGATGACAAGCCTTACCAAAGACAATTCGATATGGGGACATTCCAATTGGGCTTTTATATGCTGTACGATATGCCCAGAGTGCATCATCCAGCCTCTTGCTCCAATCCTTTCTGTTAGGTTGCACTGTCTTTTCAAGAATGAGCTTAATTTCTCTGTTTGAGAGTTCTGCTTGACCGTTTGTCTGAGGGTGGTATGGAGTAGCCACCTTATGCATCACACCATACTTGCTCAGTAAGCTCTGCATACTTCGGTTGCAAAAATGAGTACCCTGATCGCTAATGATAGCTCTTGGGATTCCAAACCTGCAGAAGATGTGAGACCTGACAAAAGAAACCACTACAGAAGAGTCATTAGTACGAGTGGGGATTGCCTCAACCCACTTAGAGACATAATCCACAGCAAGCAGAATGTAAACATAACCAAATGAAGTAGGAAAAGGTCCCATGAAATCAATACCCCAAACGTCAAAGACTTCACAGAACAACAGCGGCTGTTGAGGCATCTCATGCTTCCTGGAAATATTGCCAACAAATTGGCACCTGGAACACTTCTTACAAAACTCGTGGGCATCATGGAATAGAGTGGGCCAGAATAACCCACTTTCTAAAACCTTCCTAGCAGTACGCTTAGCACTAAAGTGCCCTCCACAAGCAAGGTGTGGCAAAATGTCAACACAGATTCAAATTCACTATCAGGAATGCATCGCCTAATAACCTGATCATTGCAAATGTGCCACAAGTAGGGATCATCCCATATATAGAACCTAGCATCACTCTTAAACTTGTTTAATTGATGCTTATTCATATCAGTTGGTAAAACAGATGCAGCCAGATAATTAGCAATGTCAGCATACCACGGAACAGTCATATCAACTCCACAAAGTCTATTATCAGGAAAATCATCTAAGGGTAAAGAAGATGTTACCACAGGAGTCTCAATCCTACTCAAGTGATCAGCTACCATGTTCTCTGCACCGCTCTTATCACGGATCTCCACATCAAACTCCTGTATCAGCATTACCCATCTAATCAAGCGGGGTTTGGAGTCTGGCTTCTTGAACAAGTACTTGATAGCCGAATGATCTGTAAAGACAGTCACTTTTGTGTGGAGGATGTAAGAACGAAATTTCTCAAGCCCAAACACAATTGCAAATAGCTCTTTCTCGTGGTTGTGTAATTAGCCTGGGTGGCATCCAGTGTCCGTGATGCATATGCTATGATATGTTGCCGCTTTTCTATTCTCTGAGCAAGAACTGCACCCAATGCATAATCAGAAGCATCACACAAGAGCTCAAAGGGAAGGCTCCAATTAGGTGGCTGAATGATAGGAGGTGTAGTGAGTCGCTTTTTCAACTCATCCCAAGCACACCTACAAGCATCATCAAAAACAAAGCCCACATCTTTCTGCAGTAAACGAGATAATGGTAATGCAATTTTACTAAAGTCCTGAATGAATCGCCTGTAAAATCCAGCATGCCCAAGAAAAGAGCGCACATCTTTCACACAAGAGGGATATGGAAGAGATGAAATAATATCAATTTTGGCTTTATCAACCTCAATGCCATCATGTGAGACAACATGTCCTAAAACAATGCCTTTCTTGACCATAAAATGACATTTCTCAAAATTCAGCACAAGATTATATTCAATGCATCTTTCCAAAACCCTATCCAAACTAGCTAAGCATGCATCAAAAGAATCACCATAGACAGTGAAATCATCCATAAATACTTCCATGCAATGCTCAAGAAAATCAGAAAATATGGAGACCATGCAACGCTGAAAAGTGCCAGGTGCATTACATAATCCAAACGGCATGCGTCTGTATGCAAAGGTTCCAAATGGACATGTGAATGTGGTCTTATCCTGATCCTCAGGTGCAATAGAAATTTGAAAATATCCAGAAAAACCATCCAAAAAGCAATAATGGGATCTACCAGCCAGTCTTTCAAGCATTTGATCAATAAAGGGAAGGGGGTAATGATCTTTTCTGGTCACAGAATTCAACTTCCTATAATCAATACATACCCTCCAGCTATTCTGGACTCTAGTTGGAACAAGCTCACCTTCATCATTACGAATAACAGTAATACCAGTCTTTTTCGGAACTACCTGAACCGGACTAACCCACTGGCTATCAGAAATGGGATAGATTATACCTGCAGAAAGAAGTTTAGAAACCTCTTTCTTTACCACATCAAGAATCAATGGGTTGAGTCGCCTCTGTGGCTGACGCACAGCTTTGGCACTATCCTCTAACAAAATCCGGTGCATGCACACATTAGGGCTAATTCCAGGAATATCAGCAAGAGTCCATCCAATAGCTTTCATCCTTCTTTTCAGCACCTCCAGGAGGCGAATTTCTTCATCAACAGCTATGTCGCTAGCTAGAATCACTGGCAATGTCTCATCTTCCCCCAAATAGGCATATTTCAGCGAATCAGGAAGTGGCTTTAGCTCTAAAGAAGGAGCTTGCTCAATTGAGGGCACGAGGGGCTTCAAATCAATGTTAGTCAAACTAGAAACCTGCATTGAAGACTCACAAGCAAAAGAGCAGACTTTCCCAACTTGGGAATCATTAGCAGGAACAGTAACAACAGAAGAATCAGATAATACGCCACAATTCATGAAAGAAGTGCCATCAGTAGCACTCATGTCAGAAGCAACATCAGGATCAGAATCAGAGACCTCTATATCAGGGACATGATCAATGTTAACTAACAGCTCAGAGTCAGGTAATGTAGATGAATCAGTTGCATCTATAGCATCAATCACACTAAGTAACTGAGAGAGTCCATGTGAATCAACAGAAGTACTAGATGAGGAATCACTGAAAGTGCCAAGTCTATGGACAGGTGCAGAAGAATCAAAACTAGAATGTCTAACAATCTCAATGAAATCAGTGAAAACATCAATATCAGCAGCATCTATACCAGTACAAGTATCACAACTACCAATTTCAGAACATGAACAAGAGATAGAATCATCTAAGCCAACAATATCACATGATCTACTTATCATACTATCTCTAAAATCTATGACAGCATCATCAGTAATAATGTCAACAAAACTAACATCAATCTCAGCACAACTATCAGGTGGATGTCTCATAGAGTCAAGCACATCAAATCTAATGATTTTACCAGCAAATTCCATAGTAAGAGTACCAGCATGCACATCTATCATAGCCCTAGCAGTCTTAAGAAATGGCCTACCCAAAATCAAAGATGAATGTCCCTTTTGCCTAAATCTAGCATCATCCATATCAAGAACATAGAAGTCTGCAGGAAATATGAGATCTTTTACCTTCACCAAGACATCCTCCAAGACTCCTTCTGGAACTACACAGCGTCTGTCAGCAAGAGAAGCGATTAGATTTGTAGGCTTAAGATCCACACCTTGAAGTTGAGCAAAAACTGATTTTGGCATGACATTGATAGCCGCTCCTAGATCTGCTAGAGCATCTGAAAACTCAATGTTACCAATGGTGCACGGTATGAGAAAGCTACCAGGATCCTTGCACTTCACTGGCATTGGCATTTGATAAAGAGAGGAGACAACCGCCCCTAAGTCAACTTTGCCATCATGCTTAAGCCTTCTCTTGGTGGTACACAACTCCTTCAAAAACTTCGCATACTTAGGCACTTGTGCAACTAGATCAACCAATGGAACATTGATCACCACCTTTTTGAAGATATCATAAACCTCTTTGAACATCTCAGCTTCTTTCTTTTCCTTTCAGCCCTAATCACCCCTGTAGGAAAAGGTAAGACTTGCTCGCTCACTTTCTTCCTTCTTCCCTTCCCTCTTTTCTTGCTCTTCTTGCAATGCCACATGTTGTGGTGTTAAAAATGGACTTATTATGCGATGTGGAAGCAGGGGGAGAATCTTTAATGATAGCTTCCTTCCTTGTTGTTGAAGCATGGGTAGTGACAGGATCTGCAGAGGTAATTGAATTTCCGCTTCTAAGAGATATAGCATTAATTCCACCAATGTTAGGATTCTGCTGGGTGCCAACATTAGGGTTAACTACTACTTGAGATGGCAACTTCCCTGAGCCTTGACTTTGCATGTTACTAAATGCATTAGATAACTGCCCAATTTGAGTTTGAAGATTCTGAATTTCTTGGCTATGTTGCAAATCCTTTTGTTCAAACTTATCCATCAGGAGTTTCATCATGCCTTCTAACTTTGAACTCTCATCTTGATTGGGCATAGTTTGCCTAACTTGTTGGAACATTTTACCACCAGAAGAGTTTATGCCTTGATTGAACTGTGATTGTTGAGGCTGGCCACTCCCATATCTGAGATTTGGATGGTCACGCCATCCAGGGTTGTATGTATTTGAGTAAGGATCATATTTCTGGCCACCTTGAGTCATAGGCTTAGTGTGGTATACTGCATTACACGAGTCAACTCCATCATTTAGGTAAGGGCAAGAGTCAGTGGTGTGAGTAGCTAGAGAGCAAATAGAGCAAAGTGGCCCAATTAGAGCTGTAGAGTCAGCTTGTGGGATGAAAGCAGAGGAAGATCCCACAGAAGGAGCCATATTTTGGGAGTTTTTCATCTGAAATACAACCATTTTCTCCATAGCAGATGTTAACTTATCAATTTTGCTCTCAAGGCGAGACTCAGAATAAGATGAATGCAATCCAACTTCATTTACTCTAGCTTGCTGCCTAGTACCAAACTGTTGGGTATTTTCAGCTTTCTTTTCAATCAATCTCCAAGCAGCTTCAACAGTCAAGTCAAGAAGAGCACCTCCAGCAGCAGAATCTAGTAAATCTCTCTCAAGAGGCAAGAGCCCTTCATGAAAATATTGAATCAACAATGTATCTGAAATTTGGTGGTGAGGACAACTGGATAACAATGCCTTAAAGCGCTCATAATACTCATATAAGGATTCCCCAGACATTTGTCGACAACCACAAATATCCTTCCTGATGGAGGAAGTACGAGATGCTGGGAAATACTTTTCCAAAAACAACCTTTTCAGCTGGTCCCATGAAGTAATGAATCCAGGAGGTAAGCGAAGAAGCCAATTCTTTGCAGAACTTTCCAAAGAAAATGGGAAGGCACGCATCTTAATCTGATCCTCAGACACACCAGAAGGCTTCATAGCAGTACAGATCATATGAAAAGTCTTCAAGTGATTGTATGGATCCTCGCCTGCAAGACCATTAAATTTTGGAAGTAAGTGAATCAATCCAGACTTTAACTCAAAATCAGTGTCAATATCAGGATAATTAATGCACCAATTTTGAAAATGCAGATCAGGTGAAACCAATTCCTTGATAGTCCTAGCAGGATTAGCCATGCTACTGTCAGAATGAGAAGAGTCAGGAGAATTAGAGGAATCAGCAGTTAACTTAACAGAAGAATCACTTTCTATAAGATTGCTAGCTTGAGCCCCTCCTTCTTTGATGAAAAGTCCTCTCAATCTCAGGATCAAATTCAAACAATTCTTTGCTAGAGGATCTAGTCATGCACTAAGCAACTATCACAAATCAAAGTGAAATGAAAAGAAGGAAAAAAAAAAATGCACCAAAAAAAAAACAGAGAAAAAAATGCAAATCACCTAGAAATCAAACCTAAAGTTTAACCATTGCTCCCCGGCAACGGCGCCAAAATTGATGATGCCTTTTGTCGTCAAAGCACTCAATTAAACTAGGTCCCAATTAATTTGTAGTTTAGGATCGACCTAGGTCATTACTTCCAAGGAGCAAGTTATGGGTTTCTTTAGGTAAAAATTCAGGTGATAAAAAAATGCAATAAATTGGACCTAAACTAAAATGCAAAATTCTAATTCTAAATGCAAAATGCAAATGTCCTAAAATCTATATGAAAATTAAATTAAACTAAATGAATGCAATGCAATTTTTGGGGGGTTTTTTTGAAGGAAAATAAAAATAATGAATAAAGAAATTAATCAGAAAGCAAAGAAAATTACAAGTAAAAATTCAGAGATTTCTCTTCAGGTAGGTAGAGGGGACAACTTAGGATTCGCATGAATTTAACCTTCATAACCTTAATCAGTTAATTAGACCAAAGGGAAGTGATAAGAGAGTGGAATTAATAAACTTAATTACCTACTTGAAACAAAGGGAACCCTCAATTTCAAAAACCCTTAAACTATTAGAGAACTCATAACAGTATAAGGTTGGTTAATTAAGCTTATTAAAACCAATGAAAATAACTCAATTATTTTGGAAATTATGTTTGAAATTATCCAATTAAACAATTAGACAATTAACCAACTTAATTAAACAATTAAGAGGCAAAAGAACCCAAATTTTGCAATTCAAACCACATTGATAATTAAACTCATAATGAAAACTCAATTATAAATTCAATTAACAATGCAAAGGTTCTAAACATAAATTCCACAAGTGTCTCAACACAAATAAAATCCAAATATCAATCCAATCCAAGAATAAAATTGACAATCTAGAACTAAATTGTCTCAACAAAATACAACTTAAATTATTTAAAACTAAATATTTCAAGTCCTTGAATTAAAAAGATAAATGGAACATCACTCCCTTGTGGTCTTCAAGTGCTAGCCCAAGGCTCTAGTCTCCTTCATGCTCCTCCCAAGTTGCCTCCCTATAAGCTTAAGCTCCAT